TCCAACAACTTTTTTCTGATAATTCTAAAATGATTTTGAAAGGCACTTTTATTTCGGAAAAAGGTAAACATGATAATGATTTGAATGAGGTTGTTTTAAATGATGAATCAACGTTTGTTTTTAATGAAGAATGTGAGTTTTTAATTGAAAACTCAATTCAAATCTTTGATAATGCTGGACTGTTGTTTGTGGGAGAATCGAACGTGAAAAGTTCAAAGATTGTTCTCCACAATAAATCAAACATTGTTTTCGAAAATGGGTCAAAAACAACATTCACTTCTTTATTTATTACACATGATGCATCTACAATCGATTTTTTAACGAATTCAGACGTCCACTTTATGAATATAAAAGAAAACGTGACTTTTGATTATTGTGTTCTGTCCTTTCTTGATTTTTCCAATATCACATTCTACCCATCTACTGTCGTCAAAGTCGAATCTTGTATTGAATTTTTCAATGCGACCAAAAGTCTTTTTGCGAAGAAAAGTAGCATAGAAGTACGACAGGGTATTTACTTCTTTGGTAATGCAACGCAGAACACACAACTAGAAGTCACTGTAGAATCTGGTGCATCACTTTATTTGTATTCCGAACACTTTATTCTTTCTGATTATTGCAATATAGATGTTTTCTTGATAGAAAGGTATAGGGAGTGCTTTGCAGTAATTTTAGATTACGATTCAATTGCACACGTCAAGAACCCCTCCATATTAGAACCACCTTTATTTACTGTTATGAAAGGAAATACGAAAGTCAAAATTTACGCGTTTATTGCGGCTGACTGTTTTGATATATTTGGGTTTAGAGAGATCCATGCGGGTGCTGATAGTGATATAATAAAATTGATTGGTGATGGTAAAGTACAACGGGTGTGCCCCAAAAATAAAGACGTTTTTAATACTACCGTATATTGCCACATGAATGGAACAAATTACATGAACGAGTATTTGCTTGGAGAGACAAAATACAGTTTTACACACCCCAATTGTCCTTACACTTCAAGTGAAGCAAATCACTTGATGGTATTTTCAGAAAATAAAGAAGTCACTGTCTCTGGAATTAATAATAAAATATTATATATAGAATTTGTCGGCGAGGAAGTTGATGTCACTATGGATTCAAACAATCAAATTTTCTTGTATGGCACATTCAGAAACAGTGGAGCAAAAGATATGTTCCAAAGTTACATTCCAAAGTGTAGCGCTGGATTTACCCAACGAATGGCTTACTTCAGTTCGTTTGCTCGTTATTTTCTAAACTGTAAAGATCATGTTGCTGTAGAGCCGAATGTAGACACTTTGGATATTGGGCTAACGGATTCTATTTATAGAGTCGTTGCAATGTCGAATATGCCACTAATAGTATATACGAAAATAGATGAGGATTACACGAAATTTTCTCCTATTAAAAGTGTTGTTGGGTATATGGTGTTATCGGAGAGGTATTTCAATTTCACAAATGGGAACCAGATCAATTTATACGACAACGCATATTACAAGAATAATACACTTTATGGATATACACGAAGAGGAGGGAAATATGTAAAACATAAATATTATCTTGGTAATAGTCAATATGCTGAATGCCCGGAAAATACATTAGAGTGCAACAACGAGACTTTTGCAATAAAATGTGAGAAAGATTATTTCATGGCAAAAAGTGGGAAATGCGCAAGTAAAACAGAAAATCTTTGTCGAGGAGTTTTGGGTGATATATGTCTTAAAACATCAAATTACTTCGATTTTGTAAATGGAAAAAGTGTTTCGTGTAATACAAATTGTTTGACATGCAATGATAACACGTGTGAAATTTGTAAAGAAGGAAAAATAATGAGAGATGGAATGTGTGAGGATGTAACACTTGATGTCACTTCTTTCAATAACCAAAACAAAAATCTGAAAAGCACAGCCCAAATTGTAACAAGCACTACAAGTGTTATCTCGTGTCCCCAAAGTTACTTTGTGTCCAATTTAATGTGTACAAAATGTTCATCAAAATTTATGAATTGTGACATATGTAACAAGAAAAAATGTGAGAAGTGCGCTTCTGAATATTCTTTGGATTCCAATGACGATTGCTATAACACACATTGTATCTTATTGGTATCAAACAGATGTGAAAAGTGTACTGATGGATATGCTCTCTCTTCAGATGGTACGTGTGTTCCAGCAATAGAAAATTGTATGGTTTACTCAAACACCATATGTGACCAGTGTACTCCAAACACAAAACTGTTTAACAACACTTGTACAGAAAATTTAGTCATACCTGACGAGGACCAGTGTTTAGAATACGATTTTCTTGGATGTTCACGATGTAAAGATGGATATTATACTGGAGAATTGAATATGTGCCAACCCTGTAATATAAAGTGTAGGAAATGCACAGGAAATGCTGAGAAGTGTCAAGATTGTATAACGGGCACCGTGTTAATCAATGGGAAATGTGTGACACTTTTTGAGTTGGAAGGAATATGCAAAGAATTCAATTTGGCTGGGAATTGTGTGTTATGTGCTGATGGGTATTTTGTGTACAACTCGTCTTGTTCTGAATGCAACGACAATTGTGCGATTTGTAAAAACGAATTTTCATGTGAAATGTGTAAAAAGGATTATTTCAGAAACGAGTCTTTAAAATGCGAAATTGCATCTAATTTACATAATTGTGCTAGTTATAATGAAAATGGGTGTTTACAATGTGAATCGGGCTATTTCCGAAATTCAAAAAGGTGTGAAAAATGTTCCGAAAATTGTGAAAGTTGCACGGACAGACACACTTGTTTGGAGTGTTTAAATAATTGGGAGTTGACAGATGGAATGTGTAAAGAGAGGAATTACATTGTCAATTGTGTCAACGTCTTTAACTCGTATTGTGAAGAATGTGAACGGTGGTATTCACTGTCTGATGATAAAACATCATGTAAAAGTGAAATGTATAAGCGCAATATTATAATAATAGTAGTTTGTGTTGTAGTGGCAATATTTATAGTGGCCATTGTTATGATTGTACTTGGTCAAAAATTGATTAAAATGCATATCAGAAAGAAAGAGAGAAAAGACAAAGGAGTCATTTCCTTGAAAGAAAATGCAGTCGAACTCTGTGTATTGGGAGAAGAACTTCTTTCAAGTGTCAAATCCGTTCAATTTCCAGACCAAATCGAAGTCAACAAAGAAACTCAAACTTCGCTTGTTTTGGGCAACAAGTCCGATTATACAATTAAACTGCAAATTACAACAAAGAAGATGGAGAGTTACAGTCTTAAAATAGTACCAAGCGTAGTTATACTACGATCGAATGAATGTTGCACCTTCACTGTTTCAATAACACCAAATTGCTCGGGAGACTTTTCAGGGAATTTAGGAGTGGTTTATTGCCACTTAAAAACAGGGAAGGAAATAACAGAGAACATTCCATTTACTGCAGAGACTGTTTTATCGACATGGATCGACGACAACTCGATTACATATTTAGAGCAAATTGGAAAGGGTGGGTTTGGCCTTGTTTACAAAGGAATTTACAAAACAAACAAAGTAGCTGTTAAGAAATTGAACATAACGAATGGGGACACATTGTGTGATGAATTTGAGAACGAAGTTGAGATGTTAGACAAGATGAAGAGTCCATACATTATTAGATTCTTTGGTGCTGTACACATTGGTAACAGTCGAATGATCATTATGGAGTTGGCGGCACATGGAAGTCTCATGCGCCTCATTGAAAAAATCAAAAAGAAGAAAATAACAAAGAAATTGAAAACAAAAATTTTGCTCGACGCGGCAAAAGGAGTATCTTACTTACACACGAATGGTATTTTACACAGAGATATCAAACCAGGGAATATTTTGATATGTGACTATTCATATGCAGCCGAGGTCAATGCAAAATTGAGTGATTTTGGAAGCTCAAGAAACGTAAATAGAGCAACGGCTTTTGATATGACTTTCACAACAGGAATCGGAACACCCGTATACATGGCGCCAGAGCTGTTGAATTGTCGTAAATATACACTTCCGGCAGATGTATATGCTTTTGGAATTACATGTTATGAGTGTTTTATTTGGGACAAGGCTTATAAGGAAATTAAATTTGCTTTCCAAATAGCAAATTATGTATGTGAAGGAAAACGACCAGAGACAAGTGAATTAGACGAGGACGTTGTTGAGATTTTAAATGGAACATGGAAACAAGATCCGAAAGAAAGAACAGATATACAAGAAATTGTCAAAGAATTTGAGGAATTATTTAAAAGAACAATCGAGGATAACAACAACTTAAAACTTGAGGCACTGTGATTGAAATAATTATGCATTTGTTTTAATGTTGTTTTATTATACTATAAACGTACCACTGCAAATTGACTGTTTTTTAAAAGGTACAGTCATTTAATTATTTATTTAACTGATATTCGTTGTTTTCTTATAAATATATAAAATGTTATTATTTTTTTTATTATAATATTATATGTATGTGTTAAATTAGATGTAAATATAAAATTAAATATATTTAGAAAACAACAAATTTTATGTATAAACTTTAAATCACATGTTTGGACATTCCGCTTTGATGTTAAAATATGATGAATTATAATTTTCAGCATCGACGAAACTAACCAATCCGAGTACCATTCAACTATTTTAGAGAAAAAAAATAATTCAATTTGTTGTTTTTGACAAATCAACCTATCAATAATAGAAAAAAGCCCAAGAATTAAAGTGTTATTGTACAGCTTTTTGTAATTTTTCATTCAATAAAACAAAAATATTTATATTTTTAAAATATAACAGTGTTATTCCAAACTAATTTTAATTCGTTGTTTTTAGAATTCCCCATTTTGTTCGAAATTAATAAACTTTACAATAAAAAACATATTGAAAAATACCCAAAATTCCTTTGTATTTAATATGAATAACAATCCAAATGATAATTATTTATTCGACAAAATAATCAATACATTTCTGTTCTAAAATTAAATTGGCGTTTATAATACAACGATCTCAAAACAGTTATATTGTTTCAAATGAAAAGCGTTATTACACTCTTTGTGATACTCACATTGTTCTCATTCGTGAGTGCTTATGAATCGGACGAATATGACGATCTTTTCGACTTCGAAGAAGAAGCAGCCTCTAATGTGGTTCAAGCTGTTGCCAAAGTCGGAGCTGGAGCCGTTGCAGGCCCAGTAGCAGCTGCAGTTGGAAAAGTCAACGGCAAAGTCGCTGGTGCTGTTGGAAAAATTGGAGGGAAAGTTGGTAAAGTAGCCGGAAAAGTGGGGAAAATAGGTGCAGGTAAAATTGGCAAGGTTCTTGGTAAAAAAGGTCTTTTAAAAGGTGTTAAAAAAGGTCTTAAAAAGGGTGGATTGAAAAAAAAGGTAAAAATGGGTTCAAAAAAGGAAAGGGTTTGATTAAAAAGGCAACCATCAAAGCAAAAGCAAGAAAGGCAGTCAATAAAATTAAGAGCAAAAAATAAATCTTTTTTTCTTGCAATTTTTATTTCATTTGAATTGTTTTTCATGTTTTTGATTGGTTTTGTTGTTTTAAAAATGAATATTTACTATTGTTACAATTTTAGTTAATATATTAAAATTTTATATTTTTTATTACACAATAAAAACTTAACCATTAAAAACTACACTTTTTAAAAAACTTAATCATAATAAAATAATTAAATAGGTTTGTTGATACACAAAAAGACCAATTATTTCTTCCTTTTTATTAAAATGTTTCTTCAATTTTTTTCCAATATGTAAATAACAATGACGTGTTTTTGTATTTGAATCAAACACCTCCAATAATGCCGATTTTTTATGCTTCTGATATGTCTCGTGAAAAACCAACAGGATGCATTTTCCTTTTATTCGTTTCACTTGTTAGTTCATAGAGGAAAATCACAAAAGAACTTTTCGTTGAATCGTATAAAAACACAACAAGTGTGTTTTGATGTTATTTTTATTAAACAACCGCAAAAAATGTTTTGCCAAATTTGTTGGTGCAATGTGTATCATCAACCACAAGACAACTTTTATCATTTTCTTGTACAGAAGTCAAATTCAGACAAAGGCAACTCAAAAACGAACTTCTATACCAGTGAATATAACAATATTGAAATCTTCAAGTAAATTAAAGTAAGTTCTTTAATTTTACGCTTGCTTCTTATTGTTATACCTTGTTGACTGTTATCTTATCTTGTATAACTTCTGTGCATCTATTACGATGTTATTGTTGAGTCTTTACAACGAACTTGAAATTCCATCATTGGCATCTTTAATCAACAATAATTTTGTTTCATCAGAAATGGTGTTGTGTACTTCTTTAAGAACTGTTGATTTATCATGATATAAATGCCAAGCAATAAAGACTATACAATTAACTTTTGAATCTTTGGAAATATAAAAAATAATTTATGAATAACAACCTTTGTGTAAACAAAAAAGGTATTGTTTTGGACAATTGGTTCTGATGTGCGTTGCCTTGTATATTTGTATTTGTTTTTCGCAAATAGTATAAAGGAGAGTATAAACGGCTATTTTTTTTTAAATTTGCATTCACAGTTATCGTTAAACAAGTTCCCAACAAATTAAACAATCTATTTCTAACTTTATCGTTAACTGAAGAAAGAAAACTTTTATCGTTTTGTTGACTAATTTTTATATACATAACAGGATAACCAATATTATCTATTACTTCCATGACAGACCTTGGCTTAAATTATATTTTTAATGAAGATTGAAGTTCTTTTTGGTGGTAACACTTAGTGATGTAAATACCACTCCTCTCAGAATGACTTCATAAAAAGTAACATTTTAAAAAACAAGTTAAGTTTAAAAAAAACAAAAAGTTTGTGTAATTCGAATTATTTTTTATTGCACAAAAAATAAAAAATATATAGAAGTATATAAATTATGTGGATTTAGGGGGGACCACATTTTATCTATATTTTATAATACTTTAACTAAACGCGAGGGGACGGTTTTCCAAAACCTGAAGGGGCGAAGCCCCAACGCGAAGCGGCATCGAAGATGCAGTCTCATTGAGCAAAGTATCGACATATGTGATGTCTCTAGAATCTCACATTCGTTTCGATTCTTCGTAGACACAGTCTCCTTTAAAAACCTTTGGTCCGTTCGGTTTAAATTTATATATAGTAAATTTATATTAATGTAATTTTTTATTTTCCTTAAATGACTGAACAAAATAAAAACTTGATTATGATAAAGATGTTGATGATTATGTTAAATATGATTTAGATAACAAATCCTTATTTGTCGATATTGGATGTGGATAAAAATTTTCAATTAGAAGAATGGAAAGATTTAAAGAATATTTGAATGATTATCTTATAACTATACAAAGTAGTGAAAATGTAATATGTAATTACCAAACGAATGAAGGTTGGAGTAAAACATATCCTTTAACAGATAAATATGCTTTGAACAAATTGATTAGCGTTCTAGAAACAAGAATATTAAATCATGATGAAATAATTAAAGCTGTAAACTCAGATTATGATATCGCAGGTGTGGACTCCACATCCTTTGGATGTGTCGATATACCAGAACCTATAATTGTTACAAAAATAAAAGTATCTATTTATAAATATTAATTCTCAGCCTACGGCGTGAGTTTCTCGTCAAATAATTTACTAACATCTAAATTATTAACAGTAATATAATGTTCTAATATCGGAAGCATCTTATTTATAATTCCATCTCTCATATTATTTTGATTGTTTTCTAATTCTTCTATTTTATTAAGTAATAATACTAATTGTTCTTGCTTTTCGCCCTCTATATTTTTGACTTTATTGTCAAGATCATTTTTAGTAATTCTAACTTGTTTCTTAATTAATGTTTGTTTACCTTTAATTTTACAAAATACATAACCATTTATATAAATTGTAGCATATAAATCTTTTGTATTGATAAAGTTAACTTCTGGATTATTATTAGTATATCTATTGATTTGTTACATTGTTTTAACATATTTATTTCATTTAAATTGTATTTGTTTATTATCTTCTGTAAAGCTATAATATGTTTAGAAGTAATATCAGAAAAAGTTTCAGCCTTCTGCATGAGTTTCTCGTCAATATAATATTCATCTTCACTTTCGTCATTTGGAGAATAAGACATACCAAATACTGTTTTTGGTGTTGAAGCTTTGCTGGAACTTTGTTCTGGATACTCCTTTCCGCCACGCGTTGTGTCTTCTATTCCTCTTTGTGTCGTATCTCTTATTTTAATAATTTCAGAAGTATTTATTTGTTTTAATGGGTCGGTCTTTGTAGTTTGATTTGTTTTGTTAGAAGAAAACAAATCTTTGAAAATGTTTTTAAGGATTTTGTTTTTGATTGAGAAGTGTTATCTGTACCAGGGTCGGCCAAACGATCGTGTTATTGAAAAAAACTTAAAAAACATTATAATGGTAAATAACATTATCATTTTTGAAAAACAAAATGAAAATGACAAAACACAATTATTTATACCAAAAGATAAAATGAAGAAAAATAAACGATAATTTATATTAGACACCAAATTGTTTTCAAATTACTTTAAAATACAACAATATACATATATCTTTGTGTTGATATAATTGTACGTTAAAACCTTTCAATTGTAAATTATACATGTAAATGAAACTTATTCAAAGTTACTCTGATAATGTTTTTTTATTTGGGTGATAATTATTATTTTGACTGATTATTATCGTATTATGAATAATCGTTTTTATCAAGAAAATTAACTAAAGATAAGTTTTACTGTTTTGAAAGTAATATTGTTTATTCATTCGAAAAATAATACATTGTTTGTTTTGTATTATTGCAAAAGAAAATAAAATTACTTCTATTTGATTGTTTAATTAATACTTTAATTTAAAAAGGACACGAATGAACTATTCAAAACCTTTGTTAAACTGACAAATATACATATATATAAATATATATATATTTACAATTAATAATAATGCGTATGTTGAAAAGGTATATTAATTGTTAAAATAAAAATTTTAAGTTAAAATCACTAAAATGATTTCTAATAAATTTTATTGGTTGTAAATATCTTTTGTGTATTCAATAATTATAATGAGTGAATATTATTATTTGATTTTAAAAAATCTGCATCCAATAATTTCATATGCTTTTTACTATTCAATTTTTGTTCTTTAAAACTGGATTATAACACATTGTAATGATGATTTAAACAATACAGAAATTTTGTTTAAATCGTTAACTATAGTTTTACCAATTTTTAAAAAAACATTTTAACTCTAAAAAACTTTTTAAGTTTTTTGTTGACAATATGCTAAAACTTAAAATGAACTGACACGTATTAGAGATTGCCAAGAAGTTGTTTAAAAACTGGATCTTGGCCGACCCTGTCTGTACTCATTTATATTAAGATAAAAATAAAAATATATTATTTATACATTACTAAATATATTATTAATAAAGTAATATAACACTATTATTATATTAACTATAAAAATAACATACTCAATAGATGTCTTCAGATAAGATGTAAAATATATTACTTTGTTTTTACAGTTTATGAAAACCTCAGAACTACAGTTCGTACGGACCATAAATATCTATTAAATTACCTGAAGTGTAATTTCATTAACGTAAAATATTTTTCCATCTTTTCCTTACAATAACCATGATCCATAAAGTTTTGAAATTTTTGATAATTATTCTTATTATTTAAACACATCTATTTCATAACCTTTTTTACAACATTAGGACTAACATAATATTTTACAATTATATCTTTTATATTATTATTTCTGATAAACTCATTAAAGTATTCTTTAAATTTATTAATTCTTGTTTTAAATTTAGTAGAATCACATTCTAAGTTAGCTACAACTTTATTATCTTCTTCATTATAATAAACATAATCATCTATATCTTCACTAAATTCATCTTCAGAATAATTATAATTTTCTATAATATCTTCATCAGCCTTCGGCATGAGTTTCTCGTTACTAGATTCACTTACATGTTCACTTTCAAGTTCACTAATAATTTCAGAATCATCTATAAATTCGTCAACGTCTTCATCCGACACTACATTATATAAGAGTCGTAAAGGACAAAGCTCGATATACTTTCTAAACGCTTCATTCGTATACTGTTCAGTCATTTTAAGGAAGATAAAAAATTACATTAATATAAATTTACTATATATAAATTTAAACCGAACGGACCAAAGGTTTTTAAAGGAGACTGTGTCTACGAAGAATCGAAACGAATGTGAGATTCTAGAGACATCACATATGTCGATACTTTGCTCAATGAGACTGCATCTTCGATGCCGCTTCGCGTTGGGGCTTCGCCCCTTCAGGTTTTGGAAAACCGTCCCCTCGCGTTTAGTTAAAGTATTATAAAATATAGATAAAATGTGGTCCCCCCTAAATCCACATAATTTATATACTTCTATATATTTTTTATTTTTTGTGCAATAATAAAGTACTATAAAACTAATAAAAACAACTACCATTTCTAGTTTAAAATGTGATAAAAATGTAGTAAATATTACTTATAAATTACTATAATATAAAAACATCAACGTGTCATGTTTATGTTTAAAAGATATCCATCTAATCTAAAATTCATATACGGTTTTTTATTATTATAATTTAAAATAACAATTATAATACAAATAAACTCAAATCTACTAAAGTTGACCAAAAAATTGTTAGAAGGGTGTATTTTTCATTGATTACCTTGGAAATAACGGGTTTTTAAAAAGTGAAAAAAAGTACACCAAAAAATAATAAGAAACTTAAATCTATTTTTATAATAGTTCTTATCTAAATTTTTAAAACTATTAATTTCACTTCTTAAAATTATTTGGTCTCTGACTATTTTTTTGTCAACTGTAAATTTATTTACTTTTTTTATATGTTTTTCCAATTTGAATTAAAATATTTGTTGATAAACCGATTGTAACTAATTAAATAAAATATAATAAAATGCACACGGTGGGGTTCGAACCCACGAATCTTTCGAAATTGGTGCCTAAAACCAACGCCTTGACCACTCGGCCACGTGTGCTCACTTTTATTATCTATTTCCATTTTATTGAATCCATTTTAAGATATGCTTTATATTATTTAGTTTATAACTAAAACAAAGATTTACTTAACAATTAAATACTTAAAATCTAAATTATTAGTTATTAGTTGTTAACTATCAATAATTATTCCTTTAACAAAATAATCAGAGATACAATACAATTACTTCTTTGCTTTCTTCTTCTCCTTCTTCTCGTGGGTTGTTTCTTCGTGTTCAGTGTGCATGATTGAAGCAAGTGCATATGACTTTGTTGGCGCTGGATTGTCGTCCGTCTGGAATCTCTTTCCGCCCTCCTTTGCTCCGTTTCTCTTTCTTGGTTTTGTTGCCATTGAATGCTTTCTCTTTCAAAATCAATCTTTTATTTGGTGTTCTATTTCTTCAACACACTTTTGTTTGGGTTTCTTGATTTGTAATAACATCTGGGAAATTCCCACACAATGCCGTCATATACACGCTGTT